GAAATCCGTGTTGTTTATCGCTCAACAAGGAGTGAATTTCAAGGTGCGATTTCAGGGCTTCTGCTATAATTCGTTCCATTGCTTTTGATATTACTGGGAGAAGAGTGACAGGTCTGTAGTTAGATGCACACGTTCTGATACCTCCTTTGAATATGGGGGCTATTATCCCGCATTTCCAATCCTCTGGTACCAACTCTTCTTCCAGAGAACTAGCGAACAGTTTAGCCAGAGGATAGCTAAGTGGTTCAGCGCAGTGGCGCAGAAGCAGTGGTGTAACGCCATCCCCACCAGGTGAAGTGTGTACCTGTAAGCCGCGAAGGTGTTTGACAATGTTAGCCCGATCAATATGCACGTCCGATAAAGTTTCGTCCGTTAGTACCTCCACAGTTTGTATAGGAGTGCGGGTATCTTCAGGAGAAAACACGGAAGCATAAAATGTGGCAAGGGCATTAGCTGTTTCAAACGCATTTGCAGTCATTCCCGATTCTGTCTTTATGGCAGATATACCTGGTTTAACTTTAGCCTGCGCATTCACGAATTGATACAATAGTTTGGGGTTTTTCTCCATCCTAGTCATCAATTTGAATTGCTGTTGTAGTTTGTCTTCCTTGATTAGTGACGTGACTTTATTCCGCAACTTTCGGTACGACTCCCAGTGTTCGTCGGTCCGGTTCGTTTTATATTGAAACCAAGCGATGTTACGTTCTGTAATCCATTTTCTTGTTCGACTCCTCACTGTGAACATCTGTGAACGTCGTAGTAGCTTATCGGGAGGTATCTGTAATAAGAAGAGAAAGAGATACAGATATTAGGTCCTACAAGTAACTCGTGCTGGCAAGTGCAGTCTTAGTATGTTACTATGCCTCTCTTTGGAACCCAGTCTTCTCAGTAGGAGATAAGAGTGTGAATTCATCACAACACTCGTACAGTTTAGTGACCCTCTTCAAAACGACCCATTTTTCAGTTGCAATTTTCCTCCCTGTTGTCAAACAAATATTTCGTTTAGACTTTTCCGTGATCCAATTTCCAAATCGTGGGCAATTTTGTTTGTTCGATTGGTAGAGTCGATTACTAGCTGTAGGCTAGTTAGTGAATGTTGATCTTCTGTGAATGTGGGATAATATGGATAGCCCATGCACAAATACGTACGAAAACAGGTAGATCCGATTGAAAACTATAGCACGTATCAATGTAATAAAAATTTTTATCCTTAATACAACTTTTTTTTATCTGTTCGACTGGAAAAGAAGCGCAGTTAACTCGGTAGACTACGTTTAGGAGCAAACGTAGCTGGGCTTACCCGCCACCTTAATATCTTATCGAATAAAGCACTGTCACAAGAAGCGCCTTTCCATACAACCGGCTCTTCTGTTCAGTTACACATCGCTAGATCTGCTTCTCCTGTAACTTTAATCGAGTGATGCAACCCCATTGATGGTTTAACGTTTTACTTTGTGCTCTCTCACTGAAGCAGTCATCAATGCAAGGCCAAGCTGACCTCTTCAGTTTATTGGAAGCACACTGTTCATGATCGCTGATCAAACAGAACGTCGTCACGTCGCAGCGCGCAAAATTGCTTCACATTGTTTTACAACCGCGTGATCAAACCATGTCGAACGCTTCATGTTCAGTTTCAGATTTACTGACATAATTTGTCTGGTACCGGTTTCCTCATACAGAGTGCCCAAAAAATGGATAGGAAAGCCGTCACACTGAAAAAGAAGCTGAAACTAATATTAGTACATAGAGGAAACTACTCACAAGGTTGCTGAAAACTCTTTGACGAAGTTTTCAGCAACCTTGTGAGTAGTTTCCTTTGTGAAAATATGCTGCGATATCTCGAATATCGCGCCAACTGAATCTTGAGGCGGCCTGTGTGCAATTGTAGAATAGTGTTGTAGAATATCATAAACGAGGGATTCGGTTGAGTCTCTGGTGAAAACCAAATTGATTTGCAAATGAGTGCTTTTCTCGATAAAAATGGTACAGATTCCGCAAAATCCGTCACTAGTCACATCGTCGTACAATTTCAAAGCTTCCGGGAAGTCTTGGTAGTCAGATCATCGATCAGTACAGTCAATAGGTTTACTGAGTTATCTTTTGTCATGATGGTCTTGAGAAAGATCATGATAGAACATATTCGTCGGTAAGACGTTAAAATTAGAGTGTTCTGTCTGTGTGACCTGTTCGTCTCGCATGTCAGTCAAGAAAATGCGCCACTGGAAACTCCTAATGAGGATGAAACCGGGTTACACTGCTCCCTCATTCCTCGATGTGGTCCAGCCATGGTAGTCACATTAGGACACGACGAAGACCCCTCAGACAAGGATAGATTCTCAGAATGGAAGTATAGTTGTATTCATAGATATTCTTTAATTTTCACTCTATCCTATAATATCAAGGACGCATGAATATTTCGGGATTCGATATGATCTACTCTATTTCTCGGGGGCGAGATGGACCAAGTGGTTAGAGCGCGAATTTACTGACCGGAAGGTCCGTGACTCGAACCCGACCTCTGCCACTCGACTTCCCCTGTCTAGGCTTGGGCAACCACGCAATATCCCAGCCCTCGTGACTCCTTCGTGTGGCATGGCAGATAGGCACCGAAAGGGTGCTACAGCTGGACGATTTTCTTTTAATCTAAGACTCCTCCCCTCAGCATAATGGTCAATTCCTAATCGGCTCGAATTTGTGGTCGCAACAGAACGAGGCATTGTACTTTGAAATAACAAAAGACCACAAGGGGGCATCCTTTCTCCGTGATTAATTACTTCCAACAGTGTGCATACATGTCTGCTCCACTTCCATTTGGTACGTCATAGTCGATTAGTCAAAAAAAAAGAGTGTCAAATTTGAATACATTCTGGTGTGTCTTTAAAAAGGGTAACTGTCGGTCCCCTCAGGACACACTAGCAAAAATGTCGCTACATCTGTGTGGCGTCACGAAGCCATATTGAATTTAATGAATTCCACTGATGATCCAAATCACACAGCTTCATACAACTTCGGTGTTTATAGACGAAACAAGTCATATCCAAACCAAATTGCCGCATGGTTCTCTTATTGTTGGCTCATCATACAGTTCTGGTATACTGACAGACTCGAGACCTTGTCACCTTCACATCACAGAAATCGAACTGAGTAGGTCTAGTGGTATACCGGCTAACTTGCCCGTATGCTTGAACTCGCCTGAAAAATCCCCCTTCACTATGCTGACTAGGATTACTCGTCTACATTTAATTGGTACGTATGAGTAAGCTTATTTATTCGCCATGGCAACCGTTTGCGACGTAACCGATTGTCATTTTAAGCACTGTGCACCAGGTGGTTAGTAGTATCAATGGCCGTGAATCTTATCACATATTTCCACACATCACTACGGTAACGCTGGAACATTGAACTATAGTTACGAACCCCTGTTTTTACTTCGCGTAAAGCGGTCCAAGTCGGAAGCAGGTAATGTTATTAGAAATGATGATGAATGAGGAGGGGAGGAAGAAGGATTCAGATCAGTGCAAATTTCAGTTAATATGGAACTGTCAAATGGGCTGTCACCTGGTAAGGACCTTGGACATCACTAACATTCAAGTTACATGGTAAAGTGTCACCGTTACTGAGTCCTCGTGAACTGCATGATGCAAGCGTCCCGATGACAGGTATGGCCGCTGACTACGGTCTCTGTAAGCGGCACTCATTACGTCTTCTTAATACTAATCTTCTTACTAATCTTCTAATACTAATCTTCTTAATACTAATAAACGTCAGGATCAGAAAGGGTCAGCCACCCAAATTTGTGACCAGAATCACGTCAAGAAAAAGGACACTTGACTGCAGCGTAGTAGTTGGGACCGTCCACGCACTACAGGCAACAAGCTTCAAAGAGAACTAATTCAGAATGGATTTCGTTTTTAGTGTCGCTCTCCGAGGGATTCAACTTGCTATTTCAAACAGGACCCGAAATCTCCCTACATGTGGAATATAGCGGACGCCCTTTTCATTGATCCAATATTTCCAGTTAGATGTTAAGTTAAGCGACTGCCGGTTTCAGCTCATGACCCAATCTCCAGGTTCATGACTTGACTTAAATCGGCTGGATTGATAAGCGTGTGTGATCGAATTTGCTGAAGTAATGGTCGAAGGTTGGTCAACTGGACAAAGTAAGGCCCGATGGGTTCTCGTAAGTTACGAGTTCATTTGTTATCGCACCAAAATAAGTTAATTTCACGAGTCTACTTTGTTTCCAGATTCTTACTATAGTCTGGCACAGAAGCGTGACTCTCATTCTTTTGTGACCGCACAGAGCGAAAGATCGGACACTTATTATACGGTTTTCTAGTTTTGGCCACTTTCATCTATTCCGGGTGTGAATGTGCAAGATCATTCCCATAACTACGAAAACTTCAGTACAGTTTCAAGGGTCTCTGAAAACATTCAGATGTGGGTATGGTAGAAACTTTGTCGAAGCATTCATTCTCTCCTCGTGGAAGGCTTGGTTAAGCATTAAATCTCGTCGGAAAGCATTCTAGTAGTCTAGAGTCGGTCTGACGATGGTGAAACAACCACTGTCCAGAGTTGAATTCCTTTTTTTCCTGCCCCAATGCAACTTCCCAAAATAGTGCTGACGAACTATAATTGATGAAGAGAATTCTATACTATTGATTTGTCGTACCCGCGGTTAAAAATAGCAAAGAATGCTATCAACACTCCCTGGAAACATGAATGACTGTGAGCGTCTCCAACAACGCCAGCCGTAATTTGTCTAGAACGGTTTCTCGCTGATTTGACCAGGTCACTCCTGTGTTCGCTGAGAGTGCGTTAATTCGACAGGTAGTTTTTCCATACTAAGTAACGTTATACTTTGATAACACTACCGAACTACAGTCATGCAGCACAAACTCCAATTATTGGTTGGCTGTTTTGTTCAGCTGACCAATTCCGATTAAAAGGGATCTCTAGGCCGTAAAAAAAACCACGCAAAAGTATCCTTGCGCATCTACACCGAAAGTGTATACTGATGTCCTATCTTCTATTTAGGATCAGGCTTCGCTTGCTGTCTCGGTTATGGTCAAGAGCAAAGAAACCCAGGACGGTTTGTTCTGGCAAGGAGTAGTTGCATGTCGTGTCCCCCAGGACTTGATGCTCTGTGCTTTGCCAGGAAAGGCGAGTACACAGCCTTCAATAACGTGGGCGGTTACCAACACATGAAAATCCGGGAAAACTCGGGCAGTTTGTGTTTCTGTTTCACTGACTGTTCGATTGCAGGTGTTCTCAGTTCAGTGAAGTACAGAACAAGTGCCTATGTATTGCGTTCATTAAAAAACATCGGAAACTATTGAGATTACGCATCAAAAACACAAAGTCACTCATCTATGAAAGAGGGCACAGATACAACAAGGTTGCTCAGGTCAAGATAGAAACAAGAGTGAAAAATAGCTTTCTATGGAGGAAAATGTTGGTAGCTCAGGTAGCGTAGATGGTCGTTGGTTTGTTTGCTGAGCTGAGCTGGGTAAGTTAATTGCAAACGTTTCTCCACCAATCAAGGTGGCATCATTAGTGCTTTGTTGGAGGGCGTAGTGGTGCGTAGCGATGGGTTAGTGGTTGTGAAAAACAGTAAACTGCAATCCATGGGATATATCAAACAAAACTACAACGGTTGCTTTAATCAAAAGTCTGGTTCACTCAAGTTTGCGGACCCAAGTCCCCAGCAGTGTCTCAAGAAAATGAGGGGCTACTCGCTGAGTTTTGCTATCCATATTCTAACGTGCTATCATGCCGATCTCAATGTTGGATCGCACTTTCTTTTTGTAAAAATGGTTTTCGCTAGATGCTCGAGGCAGTAGGAAAGTTCCCGTCACAAAACAATACAGCACTACAACTGTATCGATTGTTCATTTTACCACAAATGAGGTCCTGATCAGAATATCAGCACAGCTGATGGCCACAATGCAGGAATGGTGGAAACTGAGAAAGGAGTATACAAGTAAACTTGGAGGTTGCTCTCCAGAAGGTTCGATTTGACAGCTTTCAACTCTAGCGCGGAATACGATGGTAAAATTTCGGTCTAGTAAAACGACAGAGTTGCATCTAATAGTGGAAATATTGGATGTGTCCCATTGGATGCAGTCCTACAATAAATTCGTGGTGAACGCTGAGAGTCACACAAGGTGAAAGCGGAGGAAGCGATAAGGTTTCAAGAAAAGATCATGGTATTATCCACTCTGATGTTGCACGCGCGTTGCCGTGCCAGTGTGCTCTAGTCACCAAGAGACACACAAGGTGAAAGCGGAGGAAGCGACAAGGTTTCAAGAAAAGACCATGGTATTATCCACTCTGATGTTGCACGTGCGTTGCCGTGCCAGTGTGCTCTAGTCACCCATGACACAATTATAGGACAGCCCGATACAACTTATCAATTCCAATCAAGTTTTTCGCCACATTTAAAGCACCGATATCCACAACCTGGTTAAAATTCCTTCCGGAAAAGTAAATACCGACTGTACAGCTACACAACAGTTCACCTAGGGTACAGGTGTGGTTGCTCATGTCATGGTTGCCCTAGCAACATCCACTCGGGCATTCTGCTTGAGGACTGCTTGCAAGCGGTCTAATCTTTCCAAAATGCGACCTCAAGTCACTGAGTCTTTGTCCCTTAGGTTCCTAAAAAATGTTTTTTTTTCGTGTGTGAATCGAGTAACCTAAGAGACTAGGTCTCTCTTCTGTTTCAATGCATTTGGACTAAGGTTTGAGGATATCTGTAGATCCGTGCATTATTCTCGTGAACTAAACTGCTCTTATTGGTACGATTGCACATCTTCACGCCGTATACCGTCTTTGGGACATCCAGTGACATGCCAAGTAACCATGTTACTTAAGACTTTTGTTTGAGATATGGAACCTGAGGAATATTAAGCCTGTAAGAAGGATGCAGTGGGCTGGCTTTAATTCCAAACACTTTCTGCATTAAGGTGCCAAACTGCAAGCCAAGACTTTGTTCAGTGCTTTCCGCGTCACACCACAAGGCCGCGCAGTGTGTCGGATTACTTCAGATTGCTTCGGAATTACCTTCGCTGTTGATTTTACTATCGGCCTGGTCAAACAGTTCTGATCGAGTTTTACGAAGCATTCTTCATCACACAATCACTGCCTGTCACTGGCCTTCCATTTCGGACACTTAGTGGGATCGTTGCTTTCTGAGTCGTCTCATGAACCGCAGACGCAAAAGTCATGTCAACCCGTGCCAACGTCGCACGCCGCGCCGCCGCACCTACGCCTGTTCCTCTCTGCTACGTGTCCGTCCACCATCTATCGATCCAGATTGTGTGATGAAAGTGTGGTTATTCTGGCAGACAAAGCGTGTCGCCTCTCCGACACGCGGGAAGTGGCGGACAGCAACCGCACGCGATAGGCCAACCAGGTTTGCAGGCCTGCGCGGTTTGGATGACGGAGAAACACAAATCAATTTTTCAAGTACACTTTGTACCTCAGATTGCGACAGCTGTTCTGCCGTTCATGCATGCCGATACCACGCGCGACCTATTGAGCACGGATGCCAAAGTCTCCAATGCACACAACTGATTTCTACAGTCATTTGCTACTGTGTCTGACACTTGTTGGGCCGACGGAGATGGCGGTGTAATATGGCGTGTGGTTAATCCCTAGAACTACGTGAAAAGCGTGCCTGGTTAGCGATTAGCCGTATGTGCAGATAGGACACGGTTTCTGGTCCCTCTGTTGAAAGATAATATGTAGTCTGTTAGTCTACTTGGACATTATTCTTTTTAAAGAATCTGAATTGGATTTCAGCTTTATTTTCCCGTGTACCCACACACACTACAAGTCTATTTGGTGTACTGAAGTGTTATAAGCTGAAGTGCAAGTCAAATGTTGTTTTACGGCAACTCCAGCTGAATAGACCGTGCCGCTTTGGTAAAACTTTTTTTTGAGGGAAAGGGTATCGTCGGCTGGTGCAACACAGTGCAAGAAATAGTCCAGTGAGCTTGAATGCGGTAGACCATCAACATGGGTGGGTTAGTTCGAAAAGTGGACATCTGACTACTTATCCAATGGCTACGCGCTTTTCTCATTCATGTTTGTTGCAGGCAATGACAGCTGTTGAAAGACCACAATATATTCAAAGTGCTCTAAAGTCACTCAATGCTTGTCTCTATCTGTGGAATCTTAGGCGAACAGACGCATCCTAATGAGCAACCCACAGCAGAAAATATTACCAGATCACCCATGCGGTCTTGCATACTTCTATGACCGCCCGTTCACGCAACATGATGATCTGCGGTAATGATCGACGCGGTCGCTCGATGTTCTAATGCTGTGGAATCTAGGCGAACAGACGCATCCTAATGAGCAACCCACAGCAGAAAATATCACCAGATCACCCATGCGGTCTTGCATACTTCTATGACCGCCCGTTCACGCAACATGATGATCTGCGGTAATGATCGACGCGGTCGCTCGATGTTCTAATGTTCGGCCGATGTATGCAGCTCGGTCGTGACCGACTTGTGGTTGACCGACTTATCGTAGTTCACTTTATTGTAAAGTCATCGTAGACCATTTCACCACCAGAACTGTTCACTGTGCATCTGAGCGGCCGATGTTCTTTTGATTAAGACGGTGACAGTTGCTCAAAAATGGTTACATCATTAGTTCTTTGAAAAATTAATAGAAAGTGGTTGTCTGTTGGTTTATCTACTGCCCTTCGCCTCTTGCTAAACTGCGTCGAAATTCATTGTCACCACTGTTAACAGAATCCACTACTACCGTAGTGTATAGCCCTTCTAAACTAACACATTTTGTTTACGACTTCGCTGTTACTCGTTTTTTAATTCGCTGGTAATGAGAAATGGGTCATGATAAGCATGTTTGCAAGCTCGAACGAGACCAACTCATCAAACTTGAAAATTTCTGCGCACACAAAAATATTCCTGGGCCTTTTCAGTTGTGCACCATCCACACTACGCTCTCCCCAATCGGCCCCTCTCGAATTGCAACCGTTCCCCAAAAGGGATCACTATGTGAAATTCACCTATGAGGTAGTAGGCAAAACGCAAACCCGACCTACAAATTATGGCTCTACTGCTCATACAGAAGACCACTTTTTTCTCAGCAGTCAGATGTGGATAGTATTCCGCATAGCAGTCGATTTCTCATTAACGGTAGAGAACCAAAACACTAAGGAACTAAGTCCTCCTTTACCTTCGGTGCGCAACCTCGATCGTAACTAATGATGCAGAACATAGGTAGCTTATATGCGCGGCTAAGTTGTTAATCTTTTCGCCGGGCTTGGTAGTTGTATTGCGAACATTTCGTCTCGGGCGAGGGAACATCGCCACCGATTCAATTCAAAAGTGAACTTTCAGTGATGTAGTATAAAAAATGGAAGAGAAGATAACCCCGTAGTAACTAATGCAAAATTGTATTTAAAAAACGATTTATGCAAGGGAGAACAGAAAATAAAAGACGTATGACAGGGCGATAGTTTAAATTAATGAAGCAAATCAAATATCAGTTTAAAAAGGTTTGCCACAAAAAGAATGACTTATATCAAATAAATGGTTTTAATGTATTAACTACATGTGTCAGAACACATTCCAGTGATAAAATCAACCAAGGTATCTCAGTGATCCAAAAATATACAGCTGAGAGTTTGATGGATAAAGCAAGCAGAACGGGGACTGCGCCTACCTGATGAGCCCCAAGGAGGGTGAAACCGGTCACGCACTGTCAGAGTTTTCAGCATAAAAAATCTGATTGACCACCCTTCTTCTACCCAGGTCTGATGCGAACGAATGCGTTCATGGGTAATAGCAATAACCATGAGTATGATATGAAAACTGAAAATATACCATAAACGTGTCGTGGAATGCAAACTATGGAAAACCACTACCAGAAACATAAAAACAGCAGTAGAGTGAATTGCATTCGAGGGTGTTATCTTCAGTTGGATAGTCATTTCTCAGCTTTAGTTGTCTCTACGGTAACCAGGCCCCAACTAGCATCCCACCGATAAGAAAATTTTTCTTTAAGCGCATTTTTACCTCCACTTATAAGTTAGCAACATAAATTAGAACGCCAACTAACTTTATTCTGAATAAAAATAATAAGGGAGATGGGAGGGGCAGACCAAAGAAAATAACAGACAAGTGGTTCAGTTTCTATGCAACAAATTAGGCTATTTTCCATTGTAGACTATGCTTTCAACGTGCTGGAATGGATGTCTCCAATAGGAACAGACGCCAATTAACCATGAAAAAAAACCTGCAAATGCGAAAATGCATGCAAGTCCAGAAAGCTTGGGCCAGGCACCAGTCCTCCACTGCCATTGTCTAAGTGGGATGGGACAATATAGACATGGTAATTATTGAAAACAAATGTTCAGAAAACCAAGTCTATGCCGGTAGCAGAGTTACGGCGGTATTAGTGTTTCGTCCAAATCTTTTATCCTGTCCGGGAGTCAGCCAACGAACACTGAACATTAAGGGCCACTAAACAATACGGTTTGATAAGAAGTCAGCTAGCTGATCAATGCGCCAAATAGGTCGGAGACTGTTCAAAATCCCACCACGTTAGATTCAGCGTAGGAGATAACATGGTTCGAAGATAACATGAATCAACATGCTGGCCTTATCCGATGCTTGTGGCGTCTCACGACAGTTAGACCTACGTTTAACTTATCAGGACATTCGATATGCTCGGTGCCGTACAGCGTCGCAAAGCTAACCTGGAGCGATGTGTGCCTTTCGGGTATTTGACAGCAGATAAGGGAGCCGCGTGAGTTGAGTCAACACACCCAACTGGCTAGTTTCGGAATCGAACAGCCGGCCGTACGGCCAGACCATAAGATCTTGACCAAGCTGCTAGCCTGAAGTAATCTATGAAGTGGATCCACTAGACTCTTATTACATTCTACTGAACTACAACAGACTGCGTGCCTGGCTTCTGAAAATGGACGAGAATGGAAACAATCTGCGATCCTACTCGGTGCAAGACGAAATATAATCAATAACTGGGTGAAACGTCGGAGATTGGAGGGACAGGGTATGGAAGAATGTGCTGAATAACACGTAAGTCCATGGAGGAATCAACTGATTCGACCGCAATGCTTTCTACTTTGGAAATGAACAAAATTCGATCCAATTTTACGGGGTTTGTAGTCGTAGGATGGGTGTGTACTAGGTAGAAGAGCTTTACAACTGGTCGAGCTGGGCAATTTGATTGCAAACGCTTCATCATCAGTCGGGGTGACATTATCAGTGCGTTGTTAGAGCGCGTAATGTTGCGTAGCAATGGGTTGGTGGTTGTTGTTTTAGAAATGCATTTGTGTACTATGAACCTGGTATGCATGCTTAGATTTCGCATGACGCTTAGGAATGAATCATTTTACATAGCAGAACTAACCGTACGTTCCCTAGTGAGCTGCATCCACGTGTTCCAGTAGCTGACTTCCTCGGTTTGTGACTTGGAACCTTCTTTAGGCATCGCGTAATTGACTAGTTACCCTCGCTTAGGGGACCATATTCTTGTGGTTTCGTCAACAAAGAATGGATAATAAATTCAAAATAGTTAGCTCGAAGTCATTCGCACGTAGGTATTCCTTGAGTACTCTCTGATTTTTTAGCCATACCTTCTTAAAAATTGGCTTTGAACTGTGACTATGCTCTCTTCTGCTACTTCTCTTATGGTCTGACAAAAATGCGACTCCATATAGTCTGTCGCATTCGTTGTTTCTGGCGTTTCCCATTTACTGCACTTTTGCCCCTCTAAATTGGCAACTACTGTTCTTGGTTGTATCAAAAAGCATAGGAGTGAGCGAAACGGATCGGCGCTGCTGTAACCATAAAAAATCTGATTGACCACCCTTCTT